GGTTCTCATATTCACCATTTATTAATTTGTTATTGATTGTGGAGATATCCATTGGATGTTTGATAATCGAAGGGTAATCCTGAAATGAAGACACAAGTTAAAGAAGAACTTTCTAGTTTAATGGCTGTTACCAGAATGTTTAGTGCTACAGGATCAACCGGTTGTCTGAATGGATGTGAATCCTCATATGTCAACATTTTGTGAATGACAGGTTCAAGTCGTTCGCGTAATTCTTCTGACGTGAATGTCACTGGATACTTCGGCAGTTGTTTACTTGTTGAATCAATTTGAGGGAGTTTGGGTTTCACATCTTCTGTTGTATCTGTTATTGTTGCTAGTTTCGTCGCTGGTGAAGCTACTTTCGATTTTATAAAGTCGCTATTGTTATCTACCTCTTTTTTGATAATTATTGACTAAAACAGAAAAAGAAAAGTTTAGAATAAACTTTAAAAGAATAAAAGGATGTCGCCTTACTTGTTCTTCAATCGATGTTTGTTTAGATGTTTCGGTTAAATATTTATTATTATTTTGACTATCAACTTCCATATCGGTGGGTGCCGACGATGTTTCCATTGTATTGATAGTATCAGACGATGAATAATTGTTATTGTTGTTGTTATGTATCGAACGTACAGTATTGTTATTGAATGTTAACACTGGTTCACTTTTTATCTGTTGTAGAAAACCAGTTTGAGTTAATGATGAAGAAGCGGATGATGAAAATGAGGGAATTTCTGATTGTGGTGCAATACGATTAGGAGGTCCATGTTCACCGGCTGATTTATCAATAGATGTACATGTGTTGATTGTTGTTTGATTTGTCATTGTTTGCATTACTGGTTGTTCCTTTTTCACTTTTCGATCTTCAATTTCTTTTTGAATTTTATAAATTTTTTCGGCTAATTTATGAAAATATTCTTCTTGATTATTAGCTATTTCGAAGGTCTCATTTTCTAATCGTTTAGCGTAACTTTGTATATGATTCAAACGTTTATCTTTCAAGGAATTTGAGTCAGATGCTGGAATTAATGCGGAACAAATTTTTTGTGTCAAATGATTTCTCATATCTTGCGTCACTTGTTGTTGCCATTCTTTGGCTAGAAAGGCGAAAAAAAATGTATTAATGCAATCCATACGAAGGTATATTTAACAAACCTTGATTTATTTTTGGCGTTGGATACTTCAATGGTTGACATATTGGACACTGAAGATTACTACAGTTTTTCCAATGTAAAATTATCTGACGTGAAGATATGCAATGATTAACTAAAAACAGAAAATGGAAGTTCATTTCAAGCCCTTTAGTAACACAACATTACAAATATAATCGTTCAAATTAACAGGCTAGACTACGTATAGAAAACGAACCTGTGCAATTTCTGAGATTTTCACATTTTGTCATATGTTGTAATACATCTTTCATTGTACTACAATGGGGTAGTGTACAAGTACTCGGACGGTGTTCACCATTCTGACTTTGTTTTTCACGTTGTGAACATTTATGTGCATGTAACAGTAACACAAGTTGTCGCTGTATAATTGTTTTGCGTTGTAATTCTGTTGACTGTTGCTGTTGTTGAGGGGTTAATGGAACTGAATTGGTTATTGTCATCTCATTACTTGCTGGAGTAAATATGTTGTTATATGGTGTATTTTCTTCTGTTTGCACTAGACTACTGTTCGATGATAAACTGACACCATTTAAAATCGGTACATTACTGACTGTGTTATTATAATTTGTGTTTGTGTACATATTAGAGGAATTTGAATTTGCAAATGGGTCACTGTTAGGATTATTCATATAGATGGGGGGAGATGGATTTGGCAGCTGAAGCGACTGATTGTTCGATGAAGATTGATTAATCATTTGAGACTAAAAGAATTAATAAAGCGGATAGCATCATCAAAACAATAAAATCTAGATGCAGTCAATTATCATCCCATTAAGTCAAACTTTTTAAGAAGTCTTTCACATTCTACTGCAGCGGTTATCAGCTCTGCACTCTAAGTCTCTAGGCCGTTCCCAAGTCTGAGACAATACATACTCGAATCATGCCGATAATAATTCACCGCTTAAAAATAAAGTGTGAATGAAGTCATTATTTTGTGAGTTAATTTTGGAAGAAACATGGTCAATTTAACAATCGAAAACAAACAAAAATGCATCTCCTCGTGGTTAGAGAGTGTGCGAGCGAGACAGCTTTATTTAGATTTGATTTTGAGTTTTGATGTTTGACTATTCGCTCGTTCATTGACTGAAAAGGCTCTTGTTGAATGATAATGGTGTCAAACTACTAGATGATTTCTTAAAACAGAAATTGCGGTGTTATTTCTAATACGGACTTTCTGTTGTAATATTCTTTCTATCTTAAATTTGAGAAGAATACACCTATGATGGTAGATGTCGCTAAGTATACTGATGTTTTAAATAATAAATGCGAAACATTGCGAAAAAGCCATAGATTAAATATTTTTAAATGTTGAAGAAATTTCTGTTATAATTGTTGTTGAGAGATCCCAGATGTCTCAGAACAAGAAGCTAGTGGCAGTCCCTACATTTTATGGCAGGATATATGGCGGGCGAGTATAGTACACTGTAAATTTGAAAAAAGAAAAGTCCGTGATGTTTTCACCTTCTTTTCTCTGAATCACATACAAAAGTTCGTTCCTTTATTGAGTAAGATCCGTGAAATATGTAATCACGGGCTTTTCAACCTGGAAGCTGTGAATCAGTTCCGCCCATGTCGACTATCGCGATAAAAAGTCGCGGAGCGAACACGTAACGCGATCGCTTATAGACTCGCGAAATTTCTCGCTAATTTCGCGATCGCTATAAAGTGGCGATGAAACGCGGGTTTTTCTATACATTCGCTATAATCGCTACGCGACTCGCGTTTTTTTTCAGTTAATTAATCACGATTTTCCTTTCTCGCGGTGTGAGTCCTGCTGTAGCGGCGCGACTCTCGCTTGCTCTAATTAAAAAAGAGCGACTCTCCCTCGACTAGCGAGGAAGTCGCGATTTGTATAAATTCGCTCGCAATATGTGTTTTCTGCTTTTATCTTTGTTTTTAACTGCCCTAGTGATCGGTTCTGATATAAGATCTTCCACGAAAGTGACAAGAATTCTGCTGAATTGCTGCCGACGCTCCTACAGAAAAATCCCAGTATGGTACTGAAAAAAGGCCAGAACTATCAGTGCGGACGGCATGCTATGTTGCACCGATACGTACTAGTTCCACAGGTTTCCAATCATCGTTTGTTATCTTCGATTGCACTATGTTTTACTCGGACTTTTCTTCGAGAACATAGTGCAATCAAATTTTTAATGCGAGCAGACAATG